ATGATTCCTTAGATTTATTGGGGCCGCCTCAAAATACTAGAGGTTGCTGCAAACCTTGACTCGATAGTTTCCTTTTTTTATTTTTTTATTTTTTTTGCGATACAATTCTTTTGTTTTGGAACAAATCGGATTTACCACTTAACTAAATCCATTAATGTCATGGAATCCAAACATTTTATGGGCTTGTTCGTTTGCTCTTAATAGCTCTCATCTCTTATCTCTTAATTACTTTAAGAGGTATTAAGAGTGTTCCATTCTCACTTTGTTTTCAGACTTAATGCAATGTACAATAGCAATAATGTTCACTTTTTCTTTGTAAAATTATCATTTAAATAGTGAATACTAATTACTTAGTCATATGAATATATAATTATTAATGAAATAATATTTAGAAATTATTATTATTTATTAATTATATATGTATTATTTAATTACCTATTTAATTATTTGATTATAATTAATTATAAGGATGATTAATAATTATAATAAATTATTAATCATTAATTATTTACTTTAATTAATAATTATGCAAGAATTTATTACTTATTAATTAATTAATAAATGATCAATTATTTAAAGATATTTAATAATTTATAATATTTATCGATTCCACTTTTATTAATTATTTTATATTCATTTAGTTAATTTATTAAATAGTTAAACAAACTTTCCATACCCAAAGTTAAAACAGTGATTTGTTACTTTTCATAATTCAATATTTTAATTTTAGAACAATATTCTTCACATTCAGATTTTAAAACCAAAAAAAAAATGTTCACTAACTCCAATGCACCTCTTAAAGTAATTATTATAAATTTAAATACATTTAAACTTTAAAATTCAATACAAACAAACAAACCCTAACTTTTTAAGAAAGTGCTTTGCGAAAAGAACAATTAACGGGTTGGATCTACCTTAAAAAGAATGGACCAATCCCAAATTATTAATCAATTCTATAATATAGATTATAGACCTAGAGCCAAATGAATTATTAATGGGGATAATAAGACCTGACCCAATTATACCTGGCATCTATAATTACTATGATAATTATAAGTTATAACATGGAAGTCCAATTGTGGTATTATGAGCTTATTAAAAATGACAGTAAGTAACAAATTGTTTATATATTAACAAAAAAGCATTTTTAACCAAAATAAAGTTTATCTTTTTTTGGACATAAAATTAAGGCACTCATGCATGAGCCCCATGTATACTGAAAAGTGGCGTGTTGACTTGTGATTGATACTTAATTGCTTATGCACAGTGGTAGGAGCAGCAGATGTGGGCTCATTTATTAAATGTATAATCAATTCGGGCATCAGGATTGGGGGTTATGGATTTGGGAGATGGGACCACCTGACGTGCAGTTTTTGAAATACACAGCAGACTATGGAACCAATAATAACTCTTCACACCAGTCCTAAAATACATGAGGCACAACTATTCAAATCCCTCACTGTGAGGCCCATGTATTTTATCACTGAACATGGGGATTGGGGAACTATCATTGATTCCACATACAAAAGCATTTAGCAAATCCGAATTCAGTTCAGTTAACCAAACTTGGGTTTCATCTTAGATGAAGCTGATCTATTGTTGGGTTGGGCTTGGGGAGTGAAGCTGTCTTTGAAGAGTCCGGAACCAAGTTTCAGCCCAACAGCCCTTCATTTTATTTATGTTCACTAGAGCAGCAGCTAGACTGAAATTCTTGCTCTTGGGCATTTTTTTCTGAACACCTAATATGTGCAACTCTTGGGTACGAGATGCCTCGACCAACAGCCAAGGTGGGACCTGCATAAGGGTAAGTTTGGAAGGAGTACAAATATATATAAAATAAAATAAAATACAAGGTTTTGCAATCTACATATTTATATTGTATTCCTTCCAAACGAAGCATAATTGATTTTTAGTGTACTCTACATATTTATATTTGTACACCTTCCGAATTGAGTTTAATTAAATTTTAGTGTGGTATGCACGAGTTGCAATAAACTGATTATTTACTCTTCAATCAGGAAAAGAAAAAAACAAAAATGTAGTTACCTTCTTCGCAACTAAAGCTGTAAGTTTTAATGACACCTCACGCCTTTTATAGCGACTCTACATCTTTCTTTCTGTACGTGGAGGAAGTTTCAGACGTTCAGTCTGAAAACTCCTTTGAGGAGTTGTACTGTAGGGAAGTGTACATGTGTCATTAGGGGTGTTAATGGACTGGTTTAGGGTTAGATTCCATTCAAATCAAAATCAATTTAAGCTGATTGGACAAATCAATAAAACATTGAATTGGATCAGTTCAGATTTAATGGTCCAAAGTATTTATTGGATTGGAATAGACACTTGGTCCATCCATAATGGATTTAATTGGATTGAACCAATATCTAATCCATTCATAAAAGATAATACTACAAATGTTAATGGACAAGGTTCGAGTTGAAACCAATCTAAATTGCAACTAATTTGAACAAATTCAACGGTCTGGACATTAAATTAGATTGGTCCAAAATTGTCCAAAGTATTCATTGGATTGAATTGAACCTGATCCATCTCTGATAGACCTATATTGGGCTACCACGAAGGGTGTCCGAGTCCAACCCACCGCTTTCAAGGTTTGGGCTACTGCTTTCGGTCTTTTAGGTTGGGTCCTGTAATAAACTTAATATATTATGGCCCATGTATCAAAACGGGTTGGGTTCAGGCTAAGGCGCTAAGCTTGTTATCCGAGTCCAAGTGCTCAAGGAACCATTGTAAGCAGGTTACACTTACAGTTAATTAGTCACCGTTTTGTTTCAGTAATTTCCAGATATTATTCGTTACCTTCTGTAATTAATTATGTAAGCTAAACATTTTCTCCACTAATAATTTGCAATTAAAAAAAAAAGGAAAATCTATGATGCGGAAAAAAAAACGGGAACTTGAGTGGGCCAGGCTGGGTCTATAATGGGATAAATTCTGGGCAAAAAGCATAACGGAATTTGGTCTCAGCTGTGGGAAAGATGAGAACAGATTTGAGTGGGCCTTGGATTGGAATTGTTGAAGATGTACGTTGCTGGATCACATCACAGCATATCCCACTAAAACTAGATATTTGTCATTCAGTTACCATGAAAAAATGCCAATCCATAACAAATCAGTGTTTTCCGCAAATTAGGTAATGCAGGGGCCCAGTATTCATATTTATCACCTCGGCCCACTGTACCAAAGCTTTAAGCTAAGGTAAAGACCACAATCAGTCAACCTCGCTCACTCTCACATGGGATAGGATGGGAGGACTATAGGAGGAAAAGTGAAGGATAAACTAGCCGTTGTATACCTACTTTCTTGTTCTATTTTTACTTTTTTGGGGGGAGTTTTGTGTGGTGGTGGGGTGTTATTTGGTCCTTGGCATTCTTTTTCGTAACGGTAAGGAACTTGCCAACCAAGTTATGTGCCTCCAACCGATTTCTCCACCAACTGAATAACACACACAGCCAACCCCACAGTTACCGGCTTCCTTATCCCTTGAACTAAAACTGCATGCCCCCGTTGCTTTGCATAATAACTTAAAATACCCCGCCTCTAAATTATTCTTCATTATGTTTACTAATGTAGTGTGATCCGGTCACTCCTAGCTGGCGGTGGCCTGGATCTTAACTAGCGAAGGATAGCATCTGAGACAGAGAAGACAGTGAAGGATTCCCGGGGAATTTGCCTGACGGGAACACTCTGACGATCAAGTTAGAATTCTGAGAGAGAATTGCAAAGAATACAAGGAGAGCTAAGAGTGCAGATAGTGCGAAATCAAATTACCTTTCCTCTCTGGGGGTTGGAGTTCTTATATAATGGTGTCCTGTCAAATCTGACATAACCGCCTCTTATTCTCTATCGCAGCCGTTACTTGCCAGGGCTGCGCAGGTCACTGTTGTAGGGTACGGCTCTGTCAAATGAGGGACACCTCTCAGGTTTGGCAGGCACGACGCCGTCTGGCGAGAGACGTGGGTGCAGGGCTCCAGGTTTGGCAAGTACGATTGTCAGGGGAGATCTTCTTGTGATACGCCAAGTTGCCTTCCTGCGAGCTACCTTGCACCAAGCTACTTTGTGCCGAGCTGGAGGTGCCATGCTGAGGTTATTCTACCCGAGGCGGCCTACTTAGGCTTGTTGGAACAAATTTATTAGGAGGCTCCCGAGCTCACCCCGAAGTGCCTTGAGCTCGGGAGATCCCTGTCTTGCAGTACCCTGGTTTGGGATACCTGTGGAAGAATCTTAGCTCGGGGTGTTCCCTTGAGGAGGAGCTCGCGGCTCCTTACTGTGGAGGAGCTCGGGGGCTCCTTTACTTGGGAGGAGCTCGGGATCTCCTTTATGTGGGAGGAACTCAATTGGGGGCTCCTTTACTTGGGAGGAGCTCGGGATAATCGGAGTGTCACCTGGTGTTGAGCTGCCACGTTGGACCTTGACGGATTGATCGCGCTGAGCTGTCACTTATGCTGAGTCACGCCCACGTATCCCACTATGATGAGGTCGGGGCAAATCACCCTCCATCATTTACCGTTGAAAGCATTTAAAATGTAGCATTGGATACAAAAAGGACTAAACTTCAATGTGGTTTGCATGATCTTTCGATGGTTAAAAATGGTACAAAGAAGAGTTTAGGTTCTGTTTGGTTCGAGGGAATAGGAGTATGTTTGGTTAAATGGAATAGAATTCTCATTCCCATTTTAGACGGAATGAGATTCTCCTATATGGGGGAATGCCCATTCCTGACCCCACTCCAAGAAATGCCATTCCCATGTTGTGTTTCACTTCCGCATGGGAAAATGGAAACCTCCAGTCCAGAAGGTTAGTTTGGAAATTTCAATTGAATACGAATGGTATTGTCGGTATTTCGTCGATGTTCCAACCGTTCAAAACAGTGGTCAGAAAAGGTTCTACCGACACGGGAGCAGTGTGACTGGCTATCATCGGTCGCTATTTGGATGGTGGTTTCCTCTGTTTAAACCTCCAAAACCCGTCCGTTTTTTCGTCGTTTTCCGGCTCTGTGGTCTCTCCTCCCGCCCTCCTGTTCATTTCTGTGCATTCTCTAAAGCCTAAGCCCCCCTAAATCTTTACACATTTTATTTGTGTTTACTGCAGATTTTTAGGGTTTCTTCTCTACTTTAATTTTAAGGCACCGGATATGTACCCGGTTCCTCTCTGAGCACCGAAATCGAGAGCCAAAACTTGTCGCAGAGCTTTCTCAGAGGGTACATTAATGGAAAGTTAGCTACTTTGCTTGTCGTTGGATCTTACGTCGGGCGGAAAAGGCTTAGACTTGAAGAAAGAGAGTTTTAGCAATGTCTGTGGCTACTGAACTTCAATCATCAACCGAACAGGAGACTGAAGGCAGACCTGTTCTGGGACCAGCTGGAAACAGAGTTAGGGTTTCAGAATCAAAAGATGCGAAACGGAAAAAGGATGGTCTTAAGAAACCACAAGAAACGAGAAGGTTGCCGGAGTCTGTTATCCAGCGTAATGTTTCGGTCGACAGTTCATGCTCCTCGGATTCTTCTTGCAGCAGCTCTTCCTTGAAAACAGCGAGCATCATGAGAGTCAAACAGAATGGCTTGAAGTCTGAGAAGGTTGTTACTGAAGGAGCCAAGGCCCTGACGGGCTTGAGGATCAAAAAGAATGGCTCAAAGCCTACGAAGGTTGTTCCGGATGGAGTTGAGGTCCCTTCCCCGACGCCACCAGTTCTAGCAAAGCGGTGCGATTGGATTACACAAAATTCTGGTAAGAGATATGTGCTCTTCACACGTTTCCTTCTTTTGATATATATATATATATATATATATATATATATATTTTGTTTGGATTCTTTCTTCTTCGTTGTTTGAGACTTTGAGGAGCTTATTTATTTATCATTATTATTTTTCGGTGAGAGTATTTGCTATGCTTCGTTCCATTTGGAATTCAAACTTTAATGCGTTTATCTTTAACTCCATTTTCTTAAATAAAAACATGGAACTGTTGTAAGAAACTACATAGGCAATAATTATCAAAAAAAAAAAATGCTACATAGGCAGTCCTGTTTTTTAGGAATTTGAATTCGTGTATCTAAGTCCGTGGAAATTCTGGTAATTTCTAAAAATAATGAAACTTAAGAGAGCTCCCATCTTAATCTCCCATATGCGGAAACTTAAGAAACTAATTAAACATCAAAACATAGTTTTCTCCAGCGATGTTATACTCCACAATTTATGACATTCAATACCAAGTAAAGGTATACATGGTGGGTATCCAGGTCATAAGTGCGGAACAGTTCTTACATATTATGAGAAATGATGATCCGTGTGACATATTAGTTACATAGGTGATACAAGTATCTCTTAATTCAGATGAATCTTGTTTAAAACCATACTTCTAATGGTCCATAAACTGAAGTTCTTCGTGATCAATAACCCATTTTTCCGATGCAGGGACTTCTTTGTTCTCCTTTTTCACCTGGTTTTCTTACTAGTCCAGAGCTTTGCAGCATGTTGCTATTGCTGCAATATCAGCAGATGTCACATCTCTGACTCAGTCAGACTAGGTCATGGGCATGCCACATGTGGCATTAGCTTTGAGCATATGATTGATCCATGCACCTAGATTTACCCAGGTTTCCCCTTTACATCAAAGTTAAACGGGAAGGACTCACAAAGGTGAATCCTTCATCTTAAGAGGTGAGACAAAACAGTATGTAACCTTGATGATCCAAAAAGAAAAGCAAAATGTAACATTTATTTTTCACTCCTCTCACACTTTTAGCATTCAACATTATCTATAGAAAACACACGCAGACAATTACATGAATCGAAGGACTTGTTTGGGTGGACAAAGAAGAAGACTGAAATATCGTATTTGATCAATTCATTAAAAAACTTAGCGGTTGATGTTTCTTACTGATTGTCCTCTGTTACATGTCAGTAAGGACACATTAAGGTTTCTCTTGGTTTCCGGCAATGTGAATTACCAAAAAAGTTGCTTGTACTGGAACCATATTGATTTAAAATTTAGAATAATGTATTGCTTAGGATTTAAGAACATTTCGAACAATGACTCATCAAAAAGCAAATAGGAGTGTTTTGAGCACATGTAGGATTTTGAAGTTTGACAAAAATTATATGATATCTCAGGGTGTAAATCAGTTGGACTTTTAGGGCTGACTTTTGTTGCAAATGAAATTTGTACAAATTTTATTGCTTGCATTAGCATTATTTTGAAAAGATGCTTAATTTATAGAAAGCCAAGAACACACAGCTAAATTGACCTTAGGAATTAGGCAATGATCAGATGGCAGAAAACCACAAGTGCTCCATTAGGGGTGAAATTTTCTTATATGTTTGTTGTATACATTTCTGAAGGAGTTAAGGTATGAATTTGGATCCTTGAGGCAAAGTTTGGATGCATATTTACAAGGAGATCTTGAACTCTGACATGTTGCTAGTTTGGGGATTAGCCTTGAGGATATACATTTTTCTTGCAAGATTTCAGTGAATGGCCATAAAAGTTGCACTTTTAATTGAGATATATCAGTCTTAGGCATATTTCAAAGAAATGTCTATTGTTTCATTGGTTTGAATTTGTGATCCATGGGCTCAATCATTCCTATATGTATGGTTAAGACAATGCTCCTATGCCTTTAACTTATTTTGGTCTTTGCATCATAGATCCACTTTATATTTCTTTCCACGATGAAGAATGGGGTGTCCCAGTCCATGATGATAGGAAGCTGTTTGAGCTGCTTGTCTTATCAGAAGCATTAGCTGAACTCAGCTGGCCAACTATTCTTAACAAGAGAGACATATTCAGGTATATGACTCTAGTGCCTCCATTTAAATTCAAGCCTTTATTGGGTGTATGTTGTCTGACATTTATTGGATCTTTTGCCAGGACGCTTTTTGACAATTTTGATCCTGCAACTATTGCACAATTTACTGAAAAGAAGGTGCTATCACTTAAAACAAGTAGCAGCACCTTGCTATCTGAGCCAAAGCTTCGCGCTGTTGTAGAGAACGCCAGGCAGATAATAAAGGTAATAAACACTTGTGAAAAGGCTCCATCCTCTGCTCACACTCATTTTTCAACTGCATCATGTGGATCATATATGTGTGGTAAAAAATGGGACGTTGCCTTAAAAGATTTTGATTGAATGAAGAGGTTAAAAACTTGAAGCAAAACTTCAAATTTAATACACTTCAGATTGTCTCTTCAACTTAGCAATTGTGTGTTTTTTGTTTACACGCATAGAATTTATTTCGGACTCAAATATTGTATCACACTAAACACAACCAAAGGATGTTTTTGATCTTATAATTTGCTCCTCTTCTGCAGGTTCAGCAGGAGTTCGGTTCATTTGCCAACTATTGCTGGAGCTTTGTGAATCACAAACCTTTGAGAAATGGATTTCGTTATGCACGGCAAGTACCAGTTAAGACACCAAAGGCCGAGACCATGAGCAAGGATATGATGAGGAAAGGCTTCCGTTGTGTGGGACCCACTGTTATTTATTCATTCATGCAGGTAGCAGGGATTGTAAATGATCACCTTGTCACCTGCTTCAGATACCAAGAGTGCAACTCAAACATCCAGAAGGATTTAAAAGCCAAGACTGAGAATATGGAAGTAATGGCTAAGGCTTTGGAGAAAACATGTTTATCTAACAACTGAATTTCCGTGTTGCCTATTTCCTGCAATCAAACAATCTGTAGTATGGAATTCATCAAAAAAAAAAAACAATCTGTAGTATGGAAGATGTAAAAGATGTGATGGGAGTGTTTTTTTTTTCTTCTTTTTCCAGTCTCAGGGGACTGGGGAGTGTATCTTTTGATGTTCTGTTACTGTTAGCACGTTTCTTCATCTGTTGTGTATAACTTGAACCACCCAAAATAATAGTTTTCAAGGGGAAATTTGTATTTAATCCATGTAGTTGAGGAGGTTATGCTTTTCAACGATCCATCAAAACCGCTGTTGCTTTGAAATCAAATATTAAACCATGGTCCTATTACTGCAAACCCTTGTAGATAGTCTTTATATTTTGTTTTGAGAAATAAATGGGCTGCAATAAGCAGAGCACGTTCGGTCAAACTGAACCCTTCAATTTTGTATGTCTCGTGAACCTGAGAATGTTGAGAATCATCAACTGGTCTTAATGCCAGGCAAATTCTCCTCCTGCTCCTGCATTTCCAGAGGGGATGCCATTGCGAAACCCAAGACATTTGTATCATGATCTCAGCCGTTGGATCCTGATCCCATCCATATTAGCACATGCTAAAGAGCTATTTTATTACAGCAGATAAGCAGAACGAATACAGTGGTTGTGGTTCAATTGTCATTTACATTTGCAGTTCTGTGACTTCTGTCCTAACAATCAAGCTCTTCTTTACTTGGATTAGCTTACCCAAGATACAGAGTTGCGATTGTTGTTACAGTAGTAGAGCGATCGATCTCTCAAGTTGAATTTTTCATGGCTATTCACCATTGTTTAGCGACAGAAAAATCCCCAACAGGCCTACAGCAAGAGAAGGGGAAGGGACTGTACCATGTACATTAAAAACAAATAAGCGTGGTAGAGGTCTCTCGCACAGTCTCTCACATGCTTCCATGAAAAAAGAAAACATATGTCACATAGGGAAGGGACCGCAGTTTTTTCTGTTCTGAAATGCCCGTTTGACCAAAAGACCAAGTGTAAGGGCAATTTAATAGAAGGCTCTGCCGCTCTGTATTGCAGATGGATAGATAGGAGCCATTTGGTACTCAAAGGCTGTATTGTATTGTATTAGTACTCAAAGGCTGTATTGTATTAGGAGCCATTTGGTAAGTCTTTTCATTTAAAAAAAAAAAAATGGTAAGTCTTTTTGGGAAGATCTTCTGGTAGTTCTGACAGTCAAAAGACACATTGAGCTTTGGAATGAAGATCTGAGCAGTCCGAAGCTAGTTTGGCTATCACACATCTTTCCATGCCTTTTCGCATGAGAATAAAGCAAGAAATACATGAAAAGTTCCACTTAAAGCTTCTCGAAATCAACCCAAAATGAATTTCTCACATCTTTTTTGTGCACCAACTTTTGGCGGCTAAATCTATTATGAATCAAATGAAAAAAGACCACGGTGCGATCTGCGACACTCATATGCCCGACTTGTAAACAGTGGAAAGACCATACAGAAAGACGTGCAAAACGGGGCCTTAGTCTGTCTGCTTCTGCATCTATGTTCGTGTCTATGGCTGTGTGGCTATGGTGGGTATGTAATAAAATGCCAGTCATGCTCGTATATCATATGGACCACCCCAATGCCTCGTGGGTGAGCTGCACCCCCAGTCACAGTGGAGTCGACTCTGGAAGTGTGTGGAGTGGTTAAATTGGAGAATCACAGGCATGAACTCGTAGTAGTCTCGTACTGACCTCTTAACTGCCCAGATGAAATGTAACGATGGATGAATACATAGGACCAGTAACTTTTGTTCTTTTCTTTTTCTTTTTTTTTGGTTGATTTTTTGGGGTAAAAGGGGACCAGTTAGGTCCATGATTAGACACTGAATAATGGCTCATTACAACAGTTAGTCCGCTGATTGGACACTGAATAATGGCAGTGGTTACCATTTGCCAAACTACTAATTTTGCATGGAGCTCGTGGACATGACATTGCAACAAATAAGCAATGGTGAGTGGATCCATGAGAGTTTTTGTTCCGCTTGGAATAGTTCTGAGTTTTCAGCTACTTCCTCTCCTCATCAGTCAGTCTGCAAAGAACCGCCACCATTTTTGACCAACTACATGAGCTTTAAGGATTTGAATTCCTTACTTTCCTCAAAACCCTTTTTCTCATCAATGGGTCACTTAAAATATTTGAATGAAAAGGGCTACCACTACAAGTCTGTTTACATTGTTTTTCTGGGTTGAAGTGTCAAGCGTTTATTATCTTTTCCTAAGTCCGTTTACGTTGTTTTTTTGGGTTTAAGTGTCAAGCGTTTATTATCTTTTCCTCTCTTGCATCGTCGTCCAAGGAGTAAGGATCATATATTATATAAGGGCATAAGTTCCTAGGAGGGTTTTTTTATGTTCATTCTGTAAACAGTTCCCTAGGAGGTTGGGCATGATATTTGATTTGATGCAATGTATCTTTGACTAATTTGGAACCCTAAGCAGAAATTGTTATTTTAACCAAAAATATAAATGTTAGCCCACAGGTTTTGCTTTCAGACTTGCGGGGTTTTTTTGGTAAGAATGATCATTCATTCAGCAAACAAACTTAGGATTGAAGTTTGTGTTTCTTACACAAGCATCCACACGATGGAAATAAGGACTCTGTTTATTTATTTTTTTCTCTACAAGTACAAATGTAAATCAACGGTTGCAGGGGGGAAATACGTCTATCATCAACGTCTCTCAACCTTCCATAAAGGCTTCTGACTGTGTTTTCTGGGTTTATTTGAGGCGCAATGGGGAAATGGAAAACTGCCGTGAAACCACAACACATGAACACATCCCTTTTATCAAACTAGTGTTATGTTTCTTTTCTCCAACTGCGTTGTCCAGCGTCCAGAAAGCAAACAAAACAAGAAGTCCTCGCTTTCAACGCAAAGACTGTGTTTCTTTGTGGATAGAAAGGAAATAACTCAAAAAGCGACTGAGATTGTATTCCTACAGATTTGAGTCGTTACGCAAAGAGAGTAGAAACAAAAGAAGTAGCAACTCTATAACTTTTTGAAGTAAAATAGTTCATTTCTACATTTAAGCTTTCAACCTAGTTGGATCGTCTGATCACTTCTAGTTCAAAGGAAGAGAAGAACACAAGAAACCTATGAAGAATAGAAGAAAATGAAGCTCTAGCATCCCACCTCACTCCCCTTGTTCCTTGCCATTGAGAAAGCCGTCAGCACTTCCCTGAAACATCGACCTGACACAGAGATGGAGTCCATCTGCTCGGTAACCAGGACTGTTGATTATCCTCCAATAGGCCATGAATCTGGGTTCTGGCGCTGGCATTGTGATTTGGCCCAGAACACAGTGAGTGAGAACAAGATGCATTTGGGCACCAAAGCATAAAAACCACCACGCCGCTTGCCAACACCTGGCCGAATGAAACCAACATCCAATTGCATTGGGTGGTGAAAATGGCTACCAATGGGAACAAGCTCTTCTTTTCCTTTTTAACATCTTCAGTATCCCCCACTGAGTTGCTTAACTCCGAGTTTTTCCACTCCCAAGCGTGAGTTCTAGATCATCCACTCCTATTTCGTGAATCCTCTCTCCCTCCCAAGGTTTCACCCTTTCACTTTCGAACTCAAACTCTGCTGCCCGTCCCCTGTCTGCTGCTCCCCAGCTCATCCCTCCGGGACCTACAACAGCATCCTTGCTAGAGTTTTGCTCGGTCACAGACTTCACAAGGTTAAATGTAGGCGAAGATGGAGAAGCGACAGGACCAACTGTTTGAAAACTGACCCATCGACCAGAATCAACTGTGGAGGCATCAGACTCATCACACTCGGGTATGGTGGCAGGTGGCTGATGGTGACGGCGAGTAGGGCTTGCAGGAGCAGAGGCAGCAAAAAATGGGCGACGGAAAGAGCCCAAGGAGCCGTTGGAAAGAGATTCCCAGTCAGGGTTCAGTTTAGGAGCTCTTGAAGTTGGAGAAGACAGAGGAGGAGTGACAGGAGCACTGTTAGAGATTCGGAGTGGGGGGAGAGATGAGGGAATGGCAGCCAGGTTGCGGAGGAAGGGCAGAATGTAGGAAGATGGGTTGGCATCCATTCTCGATGGGCTCGGGAAGGAGGAGGAAGTGGGACTGGCATGGTAGGAAGGAACAGGGCTCGGGAATGAGGAGGATGCTGGACTGGGTTGATAGGATGAGCATGGACTGATGTTAGTTGAAGTGCCTGCAGCTGCATCACTCGGCGGAGGCTTGCATCCCTGCGCAAGAGACAACAACGTAGAGGTTAGGTGGAAGAAAACTAAAAGAGGCAATGTTGTTACATTGGAGGGAGTTTTGAGGATCTAAATTGATAAAGCTGCAATTTTTTTTACAGAAGGTTTTCCTTTCTTTCTGAAACTCATTACCCGTAAAAGTTTAGATTTTCATGAGACCATAAGTGTTTTCATAAGTACTAAATCAAGACAATTACAAAACTTGTCAGTGAATCTCATGCATGCCAGAAGGAGAAATTGAAAGAAACCAGAAGAGGAAATCATCAACAACCAAAATGGGATTATAGTATTTTACATAGAAAACCCATAAAATGTTTTCCAGACATCTATAATCGGTAATATGATGATTTCTACGACTTAATTAAACACAAACCAATTAATAAAAAAACAAACACAAACCCTTAAAACAAATAACCCATTTAGCAGAAGTGATTTTTAAAGGGAATCCTAATTTAGAAAAGAGAATAGTGGACAAAAACATCAAAAAGGTGTTCCATTTCAACAAATCTATACAAATACCTCGGCATCAGAAAAGAAATGCATCCGTCATAGCTAGATGCAGCTCATTCACCCAAAAAAAAGAGGAAAAGGACCAAAACCCACATTAGTACCACTGATATCCTAGAAAAAAGACAGAGAAAGCAAGAAAAATACATGAGCGTAGAAATCAAGATCAAAGCAACCCCATTTTCATAGCTAAATTGAAAAAAAAAAGGATAAATACATGTCTTAAGAAGAACAAACAAAGACCTCGGAGAACACATTAACAACCCCTGACGGCCTAGATCCTTTAGATCTCAAAAGCAACGAGAACAGAAATATGAGCGAGCCCATCAGCTGCAAACAAATCAATAGAAACCAATCCCCAAAAAAATAAAAAGAAACATAGAAAAATAAGAAGAAAAAAATTTAAAAAAAAAATGGAAATACAACCTTGCGATAAGTGGTTCCATCTTCTTCGACGATCCAACCAGCTTCTGCGCAGAGAGCTTTTAGGACTTCGTTGTTATCGCAGTGCTTGGGAAGCTTGTAATTCCCATAGGCCCTCAGGCCGGAATATATCTTAGCCGCGATCGCTCTCCTCCTCCTTTCCCTCCTCTTGTTGTTCTCTCTCTCCTTCCACGTCGGCAGCCTTCCCGACGATCTAGTCGTCATCTTTCCGACCACTACTACTACCTCCAACCCCTGAGAAAATCCTACTCACAACCGCTCTCTCCCTCGCACCCACACAGGACACGCGCACAAGCAGGAGAACCTCGCCTCCTCTTATGTCCTCTTTCTCCTTCTTCTATTATTTCATCTCTTTAGAAAAAAGAGATAAGTCACGAGGAATACGCTTTCTTTACAATTAATAATTGCAGCAGTAAGAGAAAATACCCACTTGTATTCTCCTCCCATCCTCACCGTCACCACTTCTTCCCTATGCTTTCTAGAAGGCAAAAGGGTAATTTCGGAACTTCATTTCCACTTACTCCTCTTTTTTTTTTTCTAATGGGACCATCTCTCCTTAACGTGGGACCCCTCCATTGGGGTTTCGTGAATTGCAAATTTTCATCATCATTGATGATCAGAAAAACAATTCAATTATTATCATTACCGTAAATTTTGGTAAAGGAATATCTCTACTTCTCTAGGTTCATTAGGGTTAAAATTACGACACCTGTGAGTTTTTCATTACGAAAATACCCCTAGAGATTCTACCTCAGCCAATCACGACCGTCAATAAATCCGTACTCGAATATTGCCTATTTGTGGTCAATGGTAAATTATGGAAAATCATTTGAAACGTACGTTTTAACGTATATTGGACAGTCAGGATGTTCGACACGTGTAAAATAATTTTTTTCGTGGCACTCATGACCTTGGCATCGACGAATAAATGACAATCTAAGTGGCTAACATGCTTGCCACGTGTAGTGTTAAGGAGCATCAATGCCAGAATGAGTGAGACCATGGAGGCACCAGGCCCCAGATGAGTGAATAGTGAATACATGACCTCAGTCAGTACTGAAAAAATGAATCTTTAGGAGTCAGGACTCAGGCCTCCGGACTAGAGACCTTGGCATCCCAAATTACCAAATTGTCCCGGTACTTGTTATCTTTATATGGCTTCGCTAATCGCTAACACGAGTTTCGATAACAAAAAACAATCAGATTACAAACTAATTCGGAGCGTCAGATTAGACTCACCAAGGGGATTCAGCGTTCTAGATTTTCGTTACCTGAAACATTGTGGAATGACGCCTAGGAACCAGCGGTTAATGCGGACGAGGGTATATTGGTCAATTCAAACCGAACATTATCATCGATTTATGATTATATAATTTTCTTATTAAACTTTGTACTTTTAATTGTTGATTAAAATAATAATAGGATGGGAATGGGATTATAAGGAAAACATGGTATGATTGCAGATTGCAACAAAAGTAAAAAAGCTCAACCGTATATTGCCAACTATGAAGCCGAGTCGTTTGCCGATGGATATAAATAAGGTGAACCGATGCTGTGTAAACCTAAGATAGGATAAAACGCTAGGTTCGGAGAGGAAGATCATCTGAACCGTCGGACGTTGACATAAACTAGGGCGAGATGGAGCAAGAGCGGGGCCTTTCTGCGAACTTTTCCTTTGAAAGGTGAGGCAATAATGATAGAATAGAAAGAGGGCCACTTGGTACTGTGGGACACAGAGGTTTTGTTCAGTTTGAACGGGTAGAGATATGGACAAACAACGAGCTCAGATGGTGGAGCCCACAAACCTTGCGTCGCCTGGCCTATCAAACCTTGTGATATTTTCGGGTACTTTTCTTTTTTTTTTGGTGCAGAGAGTCAGTCGGCTCCACACGTGCGACACAGAAACCTAGTGGGTGTCAATAAACAAAGAGTGAATCAGTGAAACACTCGACACACTCCCCCAAAAAACCTGCTCGGGAACAACACCTCTTTGACGTGTCGATTGCAGCAACGCCCACAGCACGTGCCCGTGGTCCCCTCCATCCCCCAAAAGCAACAGAAGAAGAATCGCACGGCTTGGCTCAGCCATCGATTCTCTTCATCCCTTGTTTGTACGGATTTAGGGCAATTTGGGACTCCCCGTTTTTCTACTGGGTCTAATTCACATGAATAAATTGTCATTGGATTGCCCTAATTAACCGCTGCTTGATCACTTGGGCTATATTTGGTTTCAAGGAAAAAGTAAGGAAAGGAATGAAAAGAATGATAATTTATACAAAGTTTTTTTCTAATTTTTCTTTCTTTTTCTTATTTTTTCCTTTAAATCAAATACAACCTTAAGTTTTGGGTGAGTATGTTTAAAACCGAAATATCAAACTGAAATTTTTGGTTTTGATTTTTTTTTAGTTTTTGAATAATTTGGTTTGGTTATTTTAATTTTTAGAAATTTTAGTTTTGGTCGTCAGAGTCAAAAATTCAGTTAATAAAAAAAATGAATTAATCAAAATTTATTATATAATATATAATATACTATATATTTAATATTTATATATTAATATATTATAATAGAATTCAATTTCATAATATATATTATAGATTATAATATTATATATTATATATATATTAAAATTCGGTTTTTAATCGAAAACCAAATCAAAATTTTCGATTTCGATTATTTCAATTTTTTTATAATCCAATGCTGACTCAATTTTCATCTTTTATTTTAGTTTTTAAAATTTCAATTTATTCAATTCAATTTTTAATCGAATAGATCGAATGCTCATCCTTAAGTGTAATGTAAAAATTATTTGGACAAATTGCAGTGTTAGTGTTTGTTGACGTTTCAATTCAATTTATTCTGATAAAGACGGTGGTAGAAGATTTTAACATTTTCTATGGATAATTTATCCATCCCAGGAAAGTATTTATTACTCAACATGGCGGCAAACAAACGAGCCCTTAATTGACTACAAAACGGTGGTATATCCGGGAAGGCAGAAGTGGATAGCCCTCCCACGAACCGAAAATAGTAAAATACCCGGTATCCCGGTGAAATCGGGGCTCCATCTCACAACAAACCGGCCACGGCCAAGAAGAAGATAGAAGCTGACAATTAAAGAACTATCAGAACCACAGGGATTGCTTTGACCATTGACCAACGGAGTGCGTTGTTATTTTTGGTGAGATGCAACAGGGTCGTGGGCCCATGAACAGTGGAATTCATCGAACTGTATCAAGTTTCAACACTAGTTATATACTTGTATACAAAACAAAGCCACTAATCAGAGTTAAACTCGTCTACGGTTCCACTCCCACAACTTGATCAATCACACGATCCACCGTGTCATCTCCGTATACGTGGGTTCCACTCGCAGAGAATGCATCAAAAATTAGTAAGCTTTTACGGGTCCGGCGCGTACAGATGTGACATTTGTAATCGTGAAGAGGCCAGTATTACAAATGCAACTGTAGACGATTTGAACTACCCATGAGATCCCAGGTCTCCGTCATGTCACCTTTTTCTTCCTGGTCGATTGATAGCAAATTTGTTTGATTGCTTTTTGGTAAAGTAGGTTACAAGTTCGAAGCTCATTCATCCACACAAAGGCAAAAATACCATGACCATGAATAATCTTGAAGTTCTATGCTCCTATTAGGACTAATTGCCAATCCTCCCTGTTTTCACATTACATTTTTTAGACGAGTTCAAATAAACCCCCACAACGTCCCATATCACATCCCTGCCGTATATTGTGAATATCTCTCGATGATAACATATTGTTTTTAAAATTACCATCGAGAGATGTTCTCAATATAAGGCGGGGATGTACCGTGGGACGTTGTGGGGGGAAAATCTTCTAAGGGGTTGATTTGGTTTCTTTTTAGACATGTTTTTTGGGGGTATTGAAATGCACACCTTTTGCCTTCAAAGTGTCTTAATTCTTTTTTTTCGAATAGTACAATACTTTTTTCAGTAATAATCTAATAATCCTTCTCCAAAGGTGGTGGGAACTGATAGTGGGGCTTGAAACCGATTTCTTTAGAGATTACCCAGTTTACGTACCAATTGTATTATCACTCGATTTTCTTAAACATTTTGGATAGAAGTATATGAGTTCAGATCTACACCCCAGAACGTCCCACAGAACATTCCTGCCATGTATTCGAAACATCTCCTAATGATAATACCAGAGTCGATACACAACGGGGAAGTGTTATGGGACGTTGTAGGGTGCTGATGTGAGCTCGAAGTATATATTGATTAGGCATTAAAATCATTTCTTCTTCTTTTTTATTTTTCTAACTCTTTTTTATTACATATTACACAATACTGGGGATTAAAGGGTGGACAGAGTAATTTATGCATTAAGTCCACTTATCTTATCATAGAGAATCTGCAATTATTTGAATTTGATCCTAGGCCTTAATATTGGAAGAGATGCCAAGTGACTATCACAAATGCCAAAGTTATCAATGTATCATTTTTACCAAAAACTTCTTGCTCTAAGAATAAAGCAAAAAAAAAAAATGTAAACTATTTTTCATTTCCCCTCAATGAGCAGCTTCCTCCCTCCCTTTCTTCCACTAAGGCTACATTTGGCATTTCTTATTTCAAGGACTTGTCCCCTTTCTGTAGTTAAAAACTCAATGTTCATAGGAACATTTTAACTACAAATTTGAGATAAATCCTTAAAATTAAGGAATGCCAAATGCAGCCTAAATGGCCACAAAACATCAATTTCACAATTCTACAATTGGCTCCTTTGACAAAACTCTAAAGTATGGTTAAAGGCTGACCACTGACCATAAGCACAATGAAACAATTAAGAGGTATTCTGTAGTGTGAAGAGAAATTGGTGGGTGTGGACACACCACAGTCCACAGTTGTTCTGAAATGTGGACAAACTATGTGGACTGTTCTAGTCCACACCCACAGTGGCATTCTGTAGGCGTGGTATGAACTTTGATTCCATGTATCTCATATACATTTTTTGAATGATGTACACAGTTAATCATAAATATCTAATTTTTGTATTTATATGATAAATATATTGAAAAATGCATCAATGAATTAATATTAACCAATAAATATTAATTTTTTGTAAAAACAATAGTAAAATAATTAAAATTTTAAATATATATTTAAATATTTAAAAATATTATTTTATTGAAAAAAACATTAAAATTTAAAAAATAATAATAAATTAAGTTAAATAATTAATACTTTATTGACAAAAATATTAAAATGTGAAACAGACAATAGGGTTTCAGCCTTTCAGGGAGAGTGTGAAGCAAGAGATCAAAAATAGATTGTGGTTGGGCCCTGACCACGAGTTTTTGCCATAGATGAAAAATTGAAGTGTGGACGTATACTGGT